GCCGGGGGCCCAAGGACGACTGTGAGGCGAAGCTCCTGGCCACGCTTTCTGCCCGATGAGGCCGCCCCGAGGGCCCGGCACACAGTGCGTCCGTGTGGCGGGGAGACACACATAGCATACAGGCCACCGCTCTCACGCGCACAGTTCTGTGGCGTTAAATATATCAATACCATTGTGCAAACACCACTTCAGTCTCGTTGCGGAGCTTTGCCATCACCCCTAAAGGAAGCACCGTACCCGTCAGCAGTTGCCCCCCGTTCCTCCCCCACCCCCGGCCCCTGGCAACCACCAATGGGCTTTCTTTTTATTAAAACTGTGGTAGAACACATAGGACATAAAATTTGGCATCTCAGCCATTTTTAAGTGCACAGTTCAGAGGCATTAAGTGCATTCTCACTGCTGAGAAACCATTCACGTGGGCCATCCCCAGAACTTTCCATCTTTCCAAACGAAACTGCTTCTGGAAACATCCCACTTTCTGTTTCCACGTCTGACTTCTCTGGGGACCTCCCATGAGTGGAATCGCACAGGATTTGTCCTTCCGGGTCTGCATTCTTTTCACTGCACGGCACGTCTCTGAGGCGCACCCACGCGGTAAATGCGTCAGGATCTCCTCCCTCCTCATGGCCGAATAACATTCACTTATGGGTGAACCACACTTCGCTTTCCTGTTCACCCTTCAGGGCGCCCTCGGGGTGTTTCCGCGTTGTGGCTGTTGGAAACAGGGCTGTGCACCTGGGTGTGCAAATACCTGCTCGAGTCCCTGTTCTCACTTCTTCTGAGAACGTACCCAGGACTGGGGCCGCGGGTCACGTGCTGTTTCTGTTTTCAGCCTTTTGGGGGGAGCTGCTGTGCTCTCCTCCCCAGCAGGCACACCGTTTTGTATCCCCACTGGCAGTGCACAGGTTTCCGATTCCGCCACATCCTCACCATCACTTACTTCATTTTTCTGGAGGTACCCCCCGTGGTGGGTGTGAGGTGGGCTCTCATCGCGGTTTGGTTTGCGTCTCGAGATGACCAGTGAGGCTGAGCACCTTTTCAGGGTCTTACTGACTGGGCGTCTGTCTTCTCTGCAGAAGTGCGTCTTCAAGTTCCCCACCCATTTTTTAACTGGGTTGTTTGTTAGGAACTTTATTTTTAAAAAAGGATTCTAAATTGCACAAGTAACGCCGCTGAGAGCCACCCCCAGGCCCCCTGCTTGTGAGACGCTGGGGGAGCCTAGGATCTCCTGACCTGAAACTCACGGAGGAGGGGCTCAGCCCCTGGGTGGGGGGCTCACTGCTGCTCGGAGCCTGGACGGACGTCCCTGTGTCTGCGCCCCGGCCTGCTTCTGGCAGGCAGTGAATTCTCAGGTCTGTGCCCTGGTTTCAGCGCCCAGCCGGCCCAGAGGCCCCTGGTCCATGAGGCCAGCTGCAGCTGGGAGGCGACCTTGCTTTGTTTGGGGACAGTGGCCAGGCGGGAGGGGGCCCTCTGTCCCTCTGGTTGACTGTGGTCTTAGCGGAGATCCCCGACCCAAGGACAGGGCAGAGCTCAGGGCTGTGCTCCAGCCGCCCCCTTGACCTGTGCACACAGCCGGGCATGCAGGCTCCACGTGGAGCTCGCTGAGGGGGGGCCCCGGGCCAGCTCTGTTATCAGTGGGTGCCTGCGGTGCACTGAGAAGGGTGTGAGGACCTGGGGGCAGGGAGGAGCAGGAAGGAGAGTGTCCCAGACACAGAGCACTCGGACCGGGGCTGGGGGGCGGGAAGGGGTGCCCTAGGTCCGTAGGAGGCTCTCAGGTGGGCCGACCTGAGCCCAGACCCTCGGTGCAGGCAGCAGGGAGCCAGGGCAGTGGCTTGAGCAGTGGGGAGGGGCCGGGAGGGGTGACAGCAGTTGGCAGGCTGCGGGGGGACTTCAGGCTTCTTCCTTCTCGTCTGGGGCTTGCTGGGGGCCTGGTGCAGGGGATCCAGAGTGTGGAGGGTGGCCCGCAGTGGGGGTCACCCTTTTGGGTCTGGACCCCTGAGGCTGGCCTCCTGTTACCCAGAGCTGAGAGCAGGCAGCCCTGCCCTTCCGTGAGCCTGCTCTGACGGCGAGTGTCAGGGGTAGCCCCACGGGGTGACCTAGGGGTCAGCCTTCCTGCTGGCCCTACCCCCCCCCACCACTACAAAGACGCCCACAGCACCGCCCCGTCGGTCCGAGGGTCGGACCGAACCGGCCCCTCGTGGTAAGAAAAAACTCCCTGACGTCCCTGCTGGTCCAGAACTTCAGGTCAGCCTGTCCGGCCCTCCCGGGACCCAGGTCAGTGGACAGGGGGCTCCAAGAGATGGTGATGGGCCAGGCTGACCAGGACACCTGGCCTGTGGGTGCCTGGGCCACAGGGAGCCCCAGGCGTCCAAGTGAACGACGCCCAGTCCTGTACTGGGGTCCTGGCCTTGACCCCAGGTGCATCCCGCCCAGCACTTGGAGGCTGACGGTGGTGATTTGATCTCGGAGCAAACGTTGGTTCCCACTGTCCCAGGCTCTGTCCCGCCCGAGGGCCAGCAGTGCCACACCGATGTGCAGCCCGGCCAGGCCTGGGGCTCAGAGACACGGTGAACACCCGGTGCGGCCCCTCGAGCCGCACTCCAGACTCAAATAGGATTTGGGGGATCGCATTTAAAGAACTATTCCTGCGCCTCCTCCCTGCAGAGGGAGGATCCCCAGCCTCAGCCTGCCAGCCCCAGGAGGGCGAGGGGAGCTCTGAGCGCGAGACCAGGATGATGGGGGGGCACGCCGTCCACAGCAATCCGTGGCGGTTATTTATCTTAAGGTCTGTTGTAAGATCGCGCTACAGACCTGTCAGTCATAAGGCTTCTGCCACTTCCAATGTGCTTAGGACGCGGCCGGAGAAGGTACTTAAGTAGTAAGATGAGCATCGGAGTAAGAAAAAGCCTGCTCGGGGATCGATCCGCCTGAGGGTGTGTGGATTTACGGAGCTGAGCTGAGGCTCTGGGGCTGCCCTTCAGGGGCTTTGTTCATCCCTTCGGGACCACCAGTGGTCTGTGAAGATGCCAGCGCTGGAGTCTCAGCTTTGGGGACCCGGGGGTGGTCGCTCTGTGGCCCTTGTCATGATGGCCAAACACTGGGAGCAGGCCCCTCTGCCCCACCTCCGTTCACTGCCAGGACCTTGGCTGTCACCTGCTCATCACACCAGCTGAAAACCGGCTGGGCCAGAATCCTGGGAAACACACGAGCAAGAGGAAGCTTTTGTACCAGGAGCTCAAGGCCACGGCACAGTCTGATCATTCATTCGTTCATTCATTCACTCAGCAGATCCACATCCAGGGCCAACCAGGGAGAAGGCAGTGGGCAGATGGATGTGGCCCTTGCCCTGGTGGGCCCAGCCACCCTCCAACCAAGGCTGCCGCCCCAGAGCTGAGGACAGAGGTGGCACCGGCAACCCCCCCCCCAGTGAGGCCACGAAGCCTGGAGTGTCCACACTCCCTCACTCTCCGCCATCTCCCACCTGCCCTGCACGCCAAACGACTCGACATTTTAAACCAAGAACTTTTTCACAAAAGGAGAGCAGTAGGCCTGCCCACATTTTCTCCCATCGCCCCCCGAGTCTGCCCCGAGCGCAGGCTGGATGGGGTAAGTGTTCCACCCAAATTGTTGATACTTGGGAGCCAGCGGGCAGTGCCTGGCCGCCCCTTTGTGGTGCACTCCCTGATGGGGAAGGGCAGAGGTCGGGCATGGGAGCAGGGCCCGCCACCGTCACCCAGTGGGAGCAGAAGTCCCTGCTGGGGCCGGGCTCCCGGGGAGGACAGGGTGGGGGACCCCAGCTGGAAGCAGGCTGACGGGCTGATTTCACTGAGCGCAGCATCCGCAGGTCCACCTGCGCTGTAGCCTGGCTCAGAGCTAACTTCCTCTACCAGGCCGAGTAGTGGTCCTTGAATGGATGGACAGCATTGTGTCTTGGCTATCAGGGTCCCTTGAGATTCCATATGAATTTAAGAGAGATTTCTCTGTTTCTGCAAAAGTGCCATCAGGACTTAGAGAGGGGTTGCACTGAATCCACAGATCACTGTGGGTCGTGCTGACGTCTCAGCGATGTCGTCTTCCGTCCCCCGAACGTGGGATGTGTTTCCGTTTGTCGCCATCCGTTTCTTTCAGCAGTTTTCCAGTTTCATTGTTCGAGTCTTCTGCCTCCTTAGTGAATTCAGAAGTTCTCTTACTCTTTTTGATGCCAGCGTAAATGGAATTGTTTCGTGATTTCCTTTTCAGACCGTTCATGGTTTGTACGTAGGAAAGCAGCTGAGTTTTGTGACCAACTCTGTTTCCTGCTTGCTGAGCTTCCGCCGCAGGGAGTCTCCAGGATTTTCCAGGTGCAGGGCCGCCGTCTGCGAGGAGAGAGAAGCTCGCTTCCCCGCTTCCAGTCCGGGAGCCTTTGATGCCTCTTTCTTGCCCACTTGCTCTGGCTGGGACCTCAGTTCAGCGTCGAACAGCAGCGGGGAGAGTGGGCATCCTTGTCTTGCTTCCTGATCTTCGGGGACAAGCTTCCGGCGTCTCTCTGTGGATGTGCTGCTCACGATGGGGTGTCCGTCTATGGCTTTTATCACGCGGGGGGCTCTCCCTCTTCTAATTTGTTCGGTTTTTATCACGGAAGGGTGCTGAGTTTGTCAGGTGCTTTTTCTTCATCCGTCGTAATCATGAGATCATGTGATGTTTTCCCCCTTCATCCTGTTGGTGTGATGGATTATACTGGCTGATTTTCACGCGTCGAACTGTCCTTGCATTCCAGGTGTAAATCTCGCTTGGTCCTAGTGTCCGATCTTTCTTCAGTGATGCTGAATGCAGTGGTGGACGTGGGCTTGAGTGGCCAGCCTGCCCAGGTGGGCAATGCAGCAGACCAGGGCCCAGGCCACCTGCTCCTGCCACGTGTCTCGGCGGAGGCTCCTGGCGCGGCGTCTGCTCCTCCATGCTGTCGGCCTCAGCGGGCGGCAGGGCCCGGCCGAGAGGTGAGCTCATGCCCTCTGTCCCTGCAGGAGATCGTCCTGGTCGTGTTCTTCGGGACGGAGTATGTGGTCCGCCTCTGGTCTGCAGGCTGCCGCAGCAAGTACGTGGGCATCTGGGGCCGGCTGCGCTTTGCCAGGAAGCCCATCTCCATCATTGGTGAGTCCTGCCTGCCCCGCTGGGAGCTCCACCTCAAGGTTTCCAGGCATGGGCTGGGCACCGTCTCCAGGAAGGGGGATCTGGCGGGTGGACCCCATCACAAGCACTGCCAAGCAGAGTCCCCCTGGAGGCTGAGAGACTCCCCAGCTCCTCCACCTGTGATGGGGCAGGTCCCCAAGGCCAGCAGGATGACCACCAAGGTCCCCCACACAGGAGCCAGCCTCCGCGCCCACACCTGCTGCTCACAGACAGGGGTTCTGGTCACACTCACCTGGGTGTCCACAGACCTCCGTGGCCCGGGAGCCAGGGCTAGGGAGGTAGCCAGGCGACCTCTGCACGTGCCCGGGAAGGAGGGCCCGGTCTCCCCGCCAGAGGTATCTCCATGTCCCCTGTGTCAGACCTGGCCTGCCTGCCAGCATCCAGCTGGTGCCAGTGGCCTGGCTGGTGACGATGGCACTGTCTCCCCCCAGACCTCATCGTGGTTGTGGCCTCCACGGTCGTCCTCTGTGTGGGCTCCAAAGGGCAGGTGTTTGCCACCTCGGCCATCAGGTACGCGCCGCAGGCTCTCCCGGCGTGGGCAGCGTGCTGGGCGGGGGCGGCCCGGGGCCTGCGCCAAGCTGGGGCTCGAGCCTGAGCACAAGCCCGTGACTTGCTTCTGGGGCTCGGGCTGGGACCTAGCTGTCCAGGGGTCTCAGCCGCTCGTCTGTGAATCGGGGCAATCCTGGGGCTTTGCCCAGAGGTGGTCTGGAAGGAACTCAGAAACTGCAGGTTTAGCTCTGGGCTGGGAGTGCTGCCCCCGCCCTGCCCCTGTGCTGCAGGAGGGTGGGTGGTGCCCGGCAGTGAGGGGCTGCGGGGCGGGGGCGGGGCTGGCCCTGCGGGCGGCACACAGTAGCCTCTCCTCCGCAGGGGCATCCGCTTCCTCCAGATCCTGCGGATGCTGCATGTGGACCGCCAGGGGGGCACCTGGAGGCTGCTGGGCTCCGTGGTCTTCATCCACCGCCAGGTGCGAGGTCCGGCGGGGAGGGCGGGGTCTTGGCCAGGGCTCAGTCTAAGCCAGCTGGGCGGCCCCCCACCAAGGGGCCAGTGTGCCCAGCCTGCCAGGCAGATGACAGGCCCACATTCCTTCAAGCTGGGGACAGGAGCCTGTCAGGCAAATGGAAAGACAGAAATGCAAGATGGGAAAGGTCTAAGAGGCTCAGAGAGCTAACTGGGCCGGAGGAGGGCAGCCCCGTGGAGGTGGAGGTGGCCAACCTGCACCCCAACCAGTCGCCTGATCAAGGTCCCGCATGAAGGACATCCGGGCGGCATAGGGTGCTGGCCAGGGGCCAGCTCCCTCCTGGAGCGTGAGACCTGACATTGCCGTTTACGGGCACTGGGGAAGACGGATGGTTCCGAAGCCCGGTGTCTGTACACAGGGCTTGCCAGAGTGGCTGTGGGCCCTCTGGGGAGCGTGGGGACGCGCTGCCGGGCAGGCCCGCACTGCCGCTGGTGCCCGGCCAGGTGTGTCCGCAGGGGCCGGGGGGGGCTGCGGGCGCGACCCGGCTGACGGCAGCCCCTGCTTGCCTCCCAGGAGCTGATCACCACCCTGTACATCGGCTTCCTGGGGCTCATCTTCTCCTCCTACTTCGTGTACCTGGCCGAGAAGGACGCCGTGAACGCGTCGGGCCAAGTCGAGTTCGGCAGCTACGCGGACGCCCTGTGGTGGGGCGTGGTGAGTCGGGACCTCGGGCAGGGCTGTCCGTGTGGGGCCGCGCGGCCGCAGCCCCGGGTCTGGGCACTGCGCGCCCCGGGGCTCTGGCTCCTCAAGATCTCGTGCCTCACGCCCCACCCACCCCCACCACACGCTCGAAGCTCTGTGTGGGTTTCTCGTTGAAGCCAGAGCAGCTGCCCCAGCTTGGTGGACGGGCGGCCCGCACCAGGCTCCACCCAGAAGGGCCCCGCAGCCGCCCTCTGGAGGTTCTTAATGTTTCTAGCTTTGAACTTGCCTTCTGTAAGGGGCAATGGCGAGTGTGCAGGGGGCACCTGTGCGGGCTGCCCTTTCCCTGCTCCAAGTCCCCAGCCACCCGGTACCCCGGCGGGGGCCTGGGTGCAGGCACGGGAGGGCGGGGCCGGGCGTGCCCTGTCTGTGCGGTTCTGCATCAGCCCCTCGAATATCCGTGCGCCCAGCATGCGATGTTACACAGCAAACAAGACACATGCGGCAGGCGGGGAGATCCTGGAAGAAAGGAAAGCGCTCCCACGTTCTGACTGTGCGATGGGCCTGCGAATTCTGTAGCCAGCCCAGCAGCGGAACACAGAGCTGCCCCCGCCCTGTGCTGGGGGCCCGGAGGCTCCCCGGCTCCGAAGATGGGCTCCTTGGGCGTGCTGCCCCTCCCTCCCCCCCCTCCCTCGGAAGTGGCCAGGAGCGTGGGCTGGAGTGGCTGGAGGCTCCCCCGGCGGCCAGCCTGCAGGAGGGGTGGACGGGAGGCTGACATCCCCGCAGGTGGGCGGGCGTCTCCACCAGGCCCAGGGCTCCTTGCAGGAATCAGGCTTGTGGTGGGGGAGGGAGGCATTCCGGGGGGACCACCTGGACTTGCTGTGGCTGGTTGTGAGGGGACACCTGAGCCGTGTGCTCCCTGAGTCCTGCGTCACTGGTCTGTGGGCCTCAGATCACGGAGGACACCCTTCACCAAACCCTCAACTCGGGCCCTGTGGGGAGGCAGGGCCTGGGCTCTTAATAGCAGGGTGGCCAGCAGCTTACTGGCCTGGGGAACAGCACGTGCAGGGGGCCCTGAGGCAGCCCGGACAGACACTGGCTGCGGGGCAGGCAGGGGTGCCGCCTGGAACGTCTGTTCTGTGGGCCGTCTCTGAGCCCCGCACCAGGGCCTGGCCCCCAACTTTCCCGGGGGCGCACTTGGGTGCACGGAGCTCTTGCCCGGAAGGGTCTAGGACAGCCTGAGCAGCAGAGCAGGTGACGCTGGCCCTGACCATGAGCTGCCCGAGGCCCAGCCTGGCCCAGTGTGAGCCCCTTTGATCCGGGGGCTGGGGGGCCGAGGCCCAGACTTGCTTGGCTAGGGAGAGGAGAGGGTCACAGCCTGCACGAGGTGGGGCTGGGGTCTTGGGGGCAGCACAGGGTCCGAGGGGCCCTGGCTATATCTGTCCCTGAGCTGTTTCCTTCCAGGCCCCCCCCAGCAGGGAGTCCATCCCAGCTTGCTTGGTGGGGGCGGAAGCTGCTCTGTGACTCCCGGGCAGGCACGTGCCCCTGCTGTTTCTGCATCCCCACCCCCATAAGGCGGGGGCTCCTAAAGTTGGCAGAGTCAGCGTTTTTTCTGGAAGCTTCCAAGTGCCAGGTGGCTCAGGGAAGGCAAGGATATGCTGACCCAGCTCCTGGGCTGGGGAAGGCCCCGGTCCAGGCCTGTGCCCCGCAGGCCTGGGCGTGGCAGGCCCCGGCAGGTTTGGGCGGAGGGCTCAGCCCAAGCAGGGAGCTTGCCTGTGGTAGGTGGAGGGGACGCGTCCTGGTGACAGGCAGAGCCCATGGAGGGACAGGCTGCCCAGAGGCAGGAGGATTCCCCGGGGACTGGATGACGCGGCAGGAAGCACGTGGGTGATGGCCCGCGGCTCCGCTGATAAGCGGTGCCCAGCCTGGCACTGCCCTCCCTGCCTTCCGGGCCGCTCTGAGGCTGCTCCCCGGCCCCGGCCTGGCCAGCGGCACTCCTA